CGGCGTGACCGTTTCCCGAGTTCGGGTCCTTCTTAAAACGGCATGGTTTACGACATTTTCTGGCTTCATCCCCGTAAGTGTTATGAAACCAGCACCATTCAGGGTTTTCCACCCTGTTGGGTTTCGTTTTAGGGCTACCACGCGACTTGCTGCGATGCGCCAAGGTGCGTTTCTGTGAAGTGCTACGTGATCTAGGACTTCGAGATCGTAGCAACCGTTTCACAGAGTTGCACAACTTGGTCACCTCCGAATCCTGGCGCTCTGTTTTGTCGCAGATAGAATATACGTTGGAGACGGGTCTGCTGGATATCTCCAGTATTTTATCTGCTGAGGCTGCCAGGTCGTCGAGTGGGACTGACTGGAGTGTCACCAACACGGTTTGCACCGGTTGTGGTAGTTTCGAGAGAAATAGTTCTCGGAAGAAACCATCGTCAAATGTTCGTGCACCGATTACTTCTCGCATGCGTGCGAGGACTTCAGTAGCTGAGTGGCTGCCTAGCTCGATGTTACGAAGCAATTCGTCTAGACGTTGGCGATCTGTGAGATCGCTTTTCTTCAAGAGTGCGGCCTTTAGAAGTGCATAAGGGTCACTTACTTCAGGATTAAACATGTTTGCTGTAACAACCTGTTTAATTCTCGCGGTAGTGAACGTATGACAGCAAGAAATCGAGATGAGGATCTGAGACACCCTGTTCTCGAAAATCGGCCTCGGCATACAGAAACCATGTTTCTGCATTGTCTGGCCAATATGGCACGAGTTGGATCGTGTTCGAGGTCGGCTTAATACGAATAAGCTTGGGAGTGTGGTCGGACATGAGAAAGTGTAGTAAATGGATATATAAATGTTATCGAAATGAAAACAATAAACAAATATAAAATGGAACAGGCTCACCAATTCAATACTTGTTATTGGTCGGGATATGTGATCACGTCGGGCTCACCAATTTAGGATTTGTCCTGGTGCGAACTTGACAGACGCAAAGACCAATCACTAATTATTCGAACTTGTTATATACCCACGAATACGAGACCAAGGAAGAACACGATAGCGTAGTCGGATGGAATAGTATATTTGGATGGTTATGCCAAAATACCGATGCGTTCCAACTAACTGGCTAGAGAGTCGAATACGAGCAATGCAACGTAACACGACAGCGTGCCAAATGGCGAGGATGCTTGACCGGATGCCTTCAGCTTAGCGAGTCCAGTTAAACTATCAAGGTCAGCATCAATGTCGAAGTCGTCAAACCCTAGGCTATTGATTTTGGGGAAGTGTATGACGCTACACCTCCTTCACTTATCTAGGAAGCACTGTTCCAACTACAGGTGACGGCACAGACGAGGATATCAAAGTCAGAATCGGAAAAGCAAGACAGGCGTTCATTAGCCTGAAACCAGTGTGGAGATCCTCTGCACTCAGCATGTGGAACAACATCCGGATTTTCAACACCGATTCAATCAAGTCAGTGCTTCTGTATGGTTCAGAGACTTGGCGCGTCACGAAAGGCATTTCCAATAAACTACGGACATTCATCAACAACTGCTTACGCTGGCTCGCTACTGAAGATCAGATGGCCAGGATAACAAGAATAAGCAACAAGGAACTCTGGGAACGAACCAACCAAGAACCTATCACCCAACAAATATGCACCGGAAGGGAGTGGAGATGGATTGAGCATGCACTGAGAAGGCCGACTGGGGACATCATGCGTCAGGCCAGTCGCTCGAGTGGAATCCCCATGGGAAGCAACGAGTTGGACGTCCAAGGGTGACATGGAGGAGGTCGTGCGAGGAGGAAATGAGAGCTTGTGGGCTGTCGTGGAACCAGGTTCAAAAGATCTCAGAGAACAGAGGTCACTGGAGGCGTGCTACTGAAGCACTATGTCCCACTAGTAACCCAAGGGACTAATAAAAATATAAAAATTCCCATGACGAAACCTGGCGCAGGTGTATACCTAGTGTCCATAGCTCACCAACATTTGCTGTGATAATTTTCAAACATTTTCTAAAAATAACCGTTTCATTTCATCACTGAATATTTCGCTATACCAAAATGCTGGAATGCGCAGAAAATTCAGTTCCATTTCAAGTCATTAGCTCGTACAGTCTAACTAGGATGTTAATTGAGGCGGTTGGACATGCGTACATATAATGAAAAGATGACCACGTCAGGAGACACCAAAACACTCGGTCTCTGTAAGGTCGAAAGAGCAGTCAGTCAGAAGTATTGTGACAGATTATTTCTCTTAAATGCTGATGCACTGTTTGAAGAGATAGAGGGTTGGAAGCTTGAGAGGGAAAATCTTGTTACGTCAGAATGTTATCTATCCTGAGCGATTTTCAAGTGAAGTATTCCTACTACTATTTTGACTTTCAATGTTGCGTGTGTTGTTTACTCCATGAAACTCTTCAAATTTCTCGACGAATACTGTATGTAGCAATATCACGTTAATATTGAAACTAACTCTGTTTATACACATTGGACAGCGAACAACTCAACTAATTACACCTTTATGAACCCTGTGCTGTTTTTCTTATGGTTTACCCGTTGTTGTCATGTATTCGATTGGCACGTGTTGGTTAGGATAAAGCCTGCAATATTCTGGCGAAGCGCAGGTGATATCTGCTGGTGTTATCCGATTCATGTTGGAATGCATTTGGAACTAATACCGTTTCATACACTCAAGTCACGAAAGTGGTCACTGACAAAACAGGAAAACGATAACTACGTTTCTTCGTTAATGCTGCACAGTAATTCACCTTCGGATATATTTTTTTAAAATTTCTTATCGTCCGCTGTTTTTTTGATTGTCATGTTTGGTGTTAATGTCCACTGGTTCGTTCCAATACCTGCTGATAGCCAGCCACTAGAATGTTGCGGTAACTTCTTACAAACGCAGCACCAATAATGTATTACAATACTATGAGTAATGAGACTTCCTTTCGTTTGGTAGGTTTGCAGAAATCATCCTACCACTCAACACTTAACTCTTCCCGATCCTCCAAACCCAAGGAGGCATGTGGGGAACACATGGCCGTTTCTCAAAGAGACAGAGAAATTGAAAAGAAAAGAGCTCCCGCCTTCTGAATACGTTTATGCCCGAAATAGGAATAGCATCAAACCGAATGTTAGTACACAGCAGGCTTCCCAGTTTGTAAGGAAATGTTGACGAAGGCAGTTTTCACCAGTATAGAGGCGTCCCATTTAGCTACTATAAAAGATTGTAGTGCACCTTCCTGGTGCCACAATACAACTTAGGCTAAAAAAATAGATCAGACTAACTAAATAAACCTCTAGCTCGCCTCCGGATGCTTTGGGCTTTTAAGTTTTGTTTAACGAGCATGCATCCGAGCAGGCTTGGATGCCATTTGCGCCTCCCTTTGTGCTTGCTGGCACGCACGTACTCAGAGTCCGTGGCCCAGCCACACTGGCCAGATAAGTTGAATAAACTTTCCCCCCATTCATTACCATTACACTTACTCTAATTAAGTACATTACTTCTTCAAATATATCCCCGGACCAGCCCTTTTGATTTGTGTTTTGTTATCAGTACTAACACGTCAGATAAGGTACTGAGTAGATACTAGAGCACAGCAAGTCAGGCAGGGTTGGTCAAACGTGATGGAATAGTAACCCACCCTCTCTACAAGATCATACAGCCTTTAACGCCGGATAAACATTTGGGATGTGGGCGCACCACTCTAATAAGTGATATATATACTTATATATGTCTAGCTGTTCCGTGCAGTTGAATGGCGACACATAACCAATACTTAGTTAGAGGATCCCGGAGGCGCTACCAGCTGAAGTCACACATACATCATCCCGCCGCAATAATCTGAAGTTCCTGAGTGTGACTGATTTCTTTTTCACAGCATGAATGTCTTAATTCTGCTCTTCTCTAACTATATTTAAACACTGGCTATCAGCGAAACTGATAAACTGGGGGTTGTTTCCACTGACAAATCGAAATCAGGGAGTAGATCTGCAACGGAATACCAGCGCTTGATTCATACAGTGCAACAGCACATATGAGCCAGTTTTCTGTCCCTTATAATTGTTCTTCCTGACAAGAGGAATTAGACCCCTTCAGCCCGAAAGGATTCCGTGATTGCTGTACCACTCGGGTCAGTCATGTCAGGCTACACCACCATACCAACCTGGCAAAGAGGTATAGAGGTAATCTTACGGGGATATGAAGGCTATATTCTAAAGAAACTCCGCCGACAGACGATATCTGCAGGGAACTAGACAAAGAAACCTTCAGTAGCCCAAAAATAAGCGACCTGTTGAGCCGGCATCTTAACGTACTGTGATATCACCGACGCACGTTGACCTTTGTTTTGACTGCTGCAAAAATACTCGAAGACTCCTGCTCTTAACCACGTGACATCATGTTCCATCAAAGTTAGGTAGACTGGATTTTTGGCTGCAAAGTTGTGATAGATTGTGCTTTCAGAAATCATTCCGAAGTGTTGAGCAAGCTGATTTTCTCCGGATCCCATTACTTGATTTCAGGAGAGGGGGTGAGGCACTTCAGTGACTACCGACTGGCAGTTTCACCGCCTTTGGTTTCTGAAGTACGGAAAGCATATATTCTAATGCCGTTCGAAAGCCGTTAGATGAGAATAACATCTTTCGCCTAACTGAATTTGGACTCAAAGGTAGGCAGCCATGTGCTACAACTGTATCCTCTTTCGGCGACTGAACACCCGGCTGAGGGATAATATCAGCTCACTGGACTTCAATACATGACTCATCAGCATCCCCCATAGTATCTTACCAAGACCATGTTTGAATTTTGGCAGCAGGGAACCACTGGCTTCTTGGTCGACAGAGTACCATAGGGATAGATATGTCTGCTTCTGGTTAAACGGAATTCTATCATGAGTGGTTTAACCGGAAGACTGTCTCAGAAAAGTGATCGGAGGGCTATCATAGTGTTTGTCATCCATAAACTGAATTATCTTCATAATTTGCCCAACGTCTATCCAAAACCATGTCCAAAACAATGCTGAATAGGCCTTATGGTAAGCACCGTCTGCCACTAACATAGATCTGCAGCTACTGATGACCTGGCTGTGTCTGAAGTTGTTATTAATCTATAACAATTAGCATACGACTCTCCTCTTCTGTTCTTTTGATCCTTACCATCCCTGGTTTATTCATGATCTATCCTGTAACCACACTTAGCACACTTCTTTGGATCAAGTCCCTCTTCTTACTTAACTCAGCCTTCCTAAACACCTACGTCTTCAGGTGCCCTCGAAGATTTGAGTCACGAGAAGTTCACTGTTCTCATCAATATCTGCGCTTTTTCTTCACTTGATCAGCTTGTGAATGGAACAATCAATTATTACTCTGTTTTAGTAACTGTCTCAACGCAAATTAACGTGACGCCGTGATAAATGATGTGAATACTTGAACGTGTGCCTTCAGCTTGCATTACAACTATGAGGATCACCACAAATGTTGGATATTTTCACGCCTTTGGCTACTGATTTTGAGGACATACCTGCTACTGTAGCTCCCTCCCATCTGGGGGATTTGTGAGGATCGTAGGACGATGCGAGCCGGAGGTAAAAAGCTGGTGGCTTCGTTGCTTTTAAAACTCTCAGTCTGCTCAATGCTCATTGTGCCTTTATTCATCTGAACCTGTTCCCTAGCACCATCGATGACGGTATCATAGTGGGTCGAATAGCGGGTCAGTAGCGATCTTTGTGGTTCAGTGTTTGTTTCACTTGGAAGAGAAGCAAAACTCATTAATACCGGGACAAAACTCAGAGAAAAAGAAAATTTTAAATGCGGGCAAGCCACATTTCAGAAAGGTCTCGACAGAACAGCCTGGATCTTCCTTCGCTTGTCACGAATTCAGGAAAATGCGGTTGCAGAAAGGGCTACTGTAATGATGACAGGTCTGAAAAATGTTGGGAATTCAGTTGGTACTGCATTCCAGTGAATAGGGGAAAATGGCAAGCGTTCATGTATGTTAAGTAGCTGGGTCTGTTTTTAGATGTTCCAGAAATCTGACAGTTCTCTCTAAGCATGCTTTTTGTTGTATGCTAAACGATTAAGTCTCCTCAGTGCCAAGTGAACCGTCGACATATTGGTCAATTGGCTGTTTTGTGGAAAAACGTCCTCTTTGGTGGAGTTTTTTCAGAGTAAGCTGATTTCTTACGGTTGATGGGGATAGTTGGGTTGGTTAAATAGACGTTTTCGTATCGCTTTGTGACTTTGAATGGTCCATCATTAGGGAAATCAAGCTGTAGACAGGGGGCATTGTGGTGTTTTTGAAGGCGTCCGTTGCAAAACAAGATGAATGAAGACATAATTTTTGTGGTTTGACAGGGATAGGGTTAGCTGAACTTATCGCAATTATTAGCCTGGTCACGTTAAATGTTTCATCGGAAGTTGTGAAGGCTGAAGATTAAGCGGGCTCACTTGGCAGTCGTAAAGTAGTCCCGTGGATGGGTTCTACAGAATTGCATCCAGTGTCAGCTTTCGGCTCGTTTCAAGCACCCAGTAGGACTGAAAGCAGTGCCTTCACACAGCGAGGCTTGTTTGCTACCAAGAGACCAGCCTGCAGCTGTCAGTAGAAGTGTTCTGCAGTGTAGCTTGACCATAGATGGCAGGCCGTCATGCAGATTTGTGTGCAGCCTAAAGATGCGGTTAAAGCGCGAAATAATCCCCACCCAGATCAGCGCTCACAGTCAGTTGATATGTAAGACCAACATCCATAGTTTGCTTTCTATCTTTCTATGAAAACATGAGAAGGAGGTCCAGAAGTAGCGTCTTGAATGGTTCCTACCTTTGCCCATCCGTAATCGACCCCCGTAGTCGAAGGATTAGTACATCCATCAGATTCTGGTAGGAGTCCAAGAATACCTATATGAAGGTGGTGGAAACGAGCGTCTGCTGCTTAAAAAGAGCCTGAAAGTCATTTCTTGTGTTGGATGATTTAGGGCTTTTGGTGGTCTAGGTATGATCCGTCCTACTGCTTAGCATCCTTTTCCAGAAAAATCGTTGTTCGATGAGCCTGATAGTACGTCATTTATCTTCGTGAGATTACTTGTGCGAAGTACTGGAGACGTGTCCACATCTGTTCTAAAATATAACGCGTGGTTGACTGGTAGGTACTTGGCTTGAGATCATATATTTAAAAAGTCGTGCTGGACACAGCTGCCACTTGTTAGTCATGGGTGACAGCTGTCCTTATTGAGAAGAAGACTGACACCTTCGATACGGTTGGTCGAACATGCTGGAGATGGTGTGTCAGGTTAAAGGCTTTTGGCTTCGGATATATTACTGCTACTCAAAGTTAGGTGGGGAATAGAATGCGGTTATTGCCACTCGTATGGACAATACCTACACCGCGCCGAGCCAAAGAGGTTAGTTGTTCTTAATCTATGGAAATGGTGAAGTTATGATCGTCAGTGGAATGTGAAAAATGGTTCATGTAACCGTTAGTAGCTAGAGACCAGCTACCAAACGTGCTGTCTCTTTTGTCCCCTTTGTATATTAGTAACAATGTATTTCGAACAATGAATTATAAGAACATATACCGTTTTTACAGGCAATGTCTGGTCGCCTTGAGTAAAACGTTACTGGTTGCCACTGGTTGTCAGTCAGTAGTTAAAAACTGCTTCGACGACCGAGTCAGATGCATCAAAAATAACGCTCAGGGGAGCATTTGGACCGTGATTCTCAGGCATGCTTGAGGTGGCGATGGCCTCCTTAGCTTTAGATAAAACAAGTCTAGCCAAGGTCTCCAAAGTCACAAGTCAGTCAGCGGTCTTGCGATTGAGGCACAGTTGGAAACAAACCGTTGTTCGTTCACGGTGATGTCATGCTTCCCCATTCTGTTGAATGCGAGACCAGTGTTCAAAAAGAGTTTTTTTACCTGGACTTCAGATGAAATGAAAATCAACGAAGACGCAGGCACGATGTAAACCGTGGAAGACGTAACTCATAGAGCGCTCCAAAGCATTCTGAAGACAAGACAGCGTGGGCGTAAACTCGAAGAGACCGAAATGTGTGGTAACGAGTTATTTTTAGATATCCCCCGTTATCGTGAGTTCTCGACTGTACGCTTAGACCGGGTTGGTATTGAAGAATACTTCCATGCGGCATAACATACCATCCAAGGCGTAGGGGTGAGTTACGGAGTGGGAGTTAAGCGTTGTCTTACTCCCATCGGTAATCACCTGTCGCACTCCAGTCCCTGCTACCGTTCTTGTGTATCATATGGAACGGCGATACCTGTGGGCTTTTCGATGGTTGAATAATGCTAACTTGCAGTACATTATGGAATTCGTTTTTCACCATCCTTTGCTTAAAGTATGCCATATGGAATGCTCCAGATGTCACTGTTGATCATGTGGTTGCTGAGCGATGCTAAAGACTAGTGCTTATTCACGGTAGACTATGCTTTGATCGTCCATATATGTTTGTCAAGAAATGTCTGAAAGCAGGAGCTGACTGTGTGTTTTCTTCCATTAAAAGCCAAACGGGATTTACTCCGGGGGTTTTGTTGATAGATAGCTTCATGGTGTTTCCTGCTGCTCATCGCAACTAAGTGCCTACGAGTTGCTCGTAGCGGTTCGGAGAATCGTCGACAGTGATGGGCACGGGGTTATCAACTAGAGGGAAAACTCATTCATTCCAAGTGGGGGTAGGCATGCCTTTGTTCAAAGGTCGCTAACTGTTTTCTGTTACACACTTGAAGGTTAATGAATGGGTCATGGTGACTCGCGTTAGTGGTGGGAGTAAGATAGTCGACTCCTGCGCCGGTATGACTGATATTGACAGCTTTCGCTCTGGTGTCCATGACTCATAATAACGACAGTTTCTGCTGGATACAGTTGCCACTACATAGTCGGAGCAAGACAATTTCCCAATCCATGCGGCCTTTGCTGGAAGCACACGGTTTTCGGAACTCTCTTTCTTCGTTGTAATCGGTGTTTTGTAGTCAACCCTGCTAAGAGTTTTTGAAAATGTGAGACTTAGCTGTCGGCCAGCCATGTGGGAAGCTCCAATGGGATCAACACATGCAAAGTTTAGGCCTTATGTCGAAGTCTAGGGCTTTGAGTTTGTTGAACCTGCTTGACGAAGTTTCAAAGCTCTGTAATTTCTGGATTTCGACTCGCAGGTTTCTTGCTACAAGAATGCACATTGGAAGTAGATTCATCAGAGTTGTTTAGTATCTCATCATCCGAGACTAGCAGATCCCTGGTGGCATCCGGCTGAAATTTCTTTACCATAGTTTGCACCAACTGTGGTATGTTAGAGAAACGAATTTCTCACAGAGGGTCACCATCCAACTTTCGTTGGCTAATAACTTCTTGCATTTTTATGAGGACGTGCTTAGCCGAATTGTCCCGTGGACCAATGTTTTAGAGAAATCAACCTCCGCGCCTGCGGTGTGACATCCCTTAGTTCCTCCGGAATGACATCTTTCAGCACTATATAAGGATCAAATGGTAGTTAAACATATGTGCTGTGACATCATTTTAGTTCCAAAAGTGTGGAAGAAAAAAACTGTGAATGAGGACTGTAATAGCCAATAATCAGAAGTTAGCTTTAGTGTATTGAGACCATGTTCTGTGTTATCTGGTCAGAATGGCACGAGCTAGGTGGGAGTGTGCTGTCGGTTGGATACAAACGGGTTCGGGGGTCTGGTTGCACAAGGATACAGAAGTCAGTTGAACTAGTCGATAAAGCAGTAGATTTGAAGGCAGAAATGCTCCGGTACCAAAAAGAGAGAGCTCTGCGGTTTAGAAGCTGTCCCTATACGATACTGACAAACAGTTGCTAAACACCTACTTCTCGTACTTGTAGAATGCTCATGAGTGCGAGACCAAGGAATAACCCCAAAGTGTAGCCTTGTAGGGTTATCATATCTGGTGAAACACGCCCAGATACCTGGACTGTTTGGCCTACTGGTTAAAAGGTCTCTTATTGGCAGAGCAGCACATCAGTGTGCCAAATGGTGTGCATGCTTGACCTTTTAATTATGGCCTTACTAACTCGTTACAGCCGTGAAGGTCAGCATCAATGCTGAATCTCGCCACACCTTGAGTTATTGACTTTGGGGAATAAATTACTACTTGATAGCCGGTAGCTAGGCTGAAGAGAGCATAAATGGCTTTCACACTCCAAGGAGTATAACGACAGAATACAAAATCTCAATACAATGGCAAGAGATGAGATCTTGAAAGCTATCGGTCTCTCGTGGTTGATATTAGAAAATCCAACTTCATTCTAGGTTTCCGGTCGTCGAAACAGATGAGTGGCTGGATATGCCCTACCAGATTCCATCAAGGTTCTGTAGCAGCTTTTTCTCATCGAAATGCTAGGACAAGGAAACATGAATTAATTTATCCTAATGTAGCTGTTTTGAAATTGAGCCCTAGGTCTAATCGTAGGCGATGTTATTTTCTAATTGGACATGAAAGTTTAAATCGGTCTGTGGCCCACTGATTTTAGACATGGAAGCTTGTTAGGTGGAGCTCCTTCTAACCTGTTACCAACCATCTGAAACCACTTCGTGATTAAAATATTTAAATTGAATTCTCTCTCTGACCAAGTAGTGGTTGCTAGTTCTTCACATGCCTCTAAACAGCCACTGAGTTGTGGTTTTGCGAAGAGTGAAACGGACTGCAGATAATGTCACTGTCCTCAGTAAACGCTAATGAGGATGTTCGATCAAAACTAATGCTATCACCTGTTTCTTTTCAAACATTTCTGAGAAGGAAGCAGATATAAGTATGAACACTGAGGATTCAACCCTGCCATCAAATAAGTAGAACTCGATAAGATATTGATTCCCTAACTGTGTAACACCAAGAATTGTACTATCGGTATGATCACTACAAATGAAATATTGAACTAGTCAGGGCGTTTTTCATAAAAAGTTGCGTTGCCGCAGTATGGCGTTGACACTTTCTGGATCGACTGAGCAGTCATTTGGCACCATTAATTTCACTTATGGTTTAAATAGAACACAAGAGCGTAACAAGAAAAGAAGTTGAGAAGAAAGCTGCACTGAAGAGACGTAGGGAGTTGAGAAACCAGCCGCAATTGGTAAATGGGATTTCCAATGATACTAAGGGATTACATGAAGATGAAGAAAGTGACCCTGAACCAGAAGATGAAATAATTGAATTTGAATATAAAGGACCATTTGAACGCTTTAAAGTGAGTTTTGCCGGCACAAGTGCCATCGCGTTTAGTTCCTAGTGACTTAGCTATATGGAACACAAATGTGCACTTTCAAATGACGTCAGACAATTATTCACCGCAATTCACGCGTAAATTCTGATATTTAGTTTTAGATAACTGATAGCTAGGGAGATAATCAGCATTTACTGTAAGCAAATATTAAGGCGGCTGTTGCTAGCTGAGCTTTTTCAATACCAGTGCGGCTACGTAGTTGAAAGTCTAACACTTGAAAAGAATTACTAAGAACTCGTTGTTGTAGTGTCATTTTACTGACCTGAAAAGACCAACGAAGTTATCACAAAATGAAGAGCAACCCAATGGTTACCTATAATACTCACCTTAAAGCCGATTGATTCTATCCCGCTTTCTTTATGCTTATGATAGGGCGGTTAGTTTTGACACTTTTATACCATTTAAGAATTCTTGTTTTGTACCATAAAAGCATTTGGCAGCGATTTGTAACTAAGTTATTTGTTTGTTCATAATTACTTTTGGATTCTTTTGTTCACGATTTCTGATCATATCACTATTTCCACTATATCCATTAAATATTTGATAGAATTATCTGGCCAAGTATTTTGTTGTTTTTCTGTATTTTAATTAGTTTTTTATTAACTTCCATCATATTGCATTATGCTTCTCAATGTGTTCTATCCAGGTTTATTGAAAATCTAAGTTCACTACAGTAAAGAATGATGCATCGTATGTTTCCCAGCCTTCAAACTGCGCACGTGAACTTTCCAGCAAGCTAATATATTGCTGACTGGTGGCGGTTGGTATGCTTTATAAATCCAGCAATTCTTGTAGGGTAAAACTGGAATATTGACGTCAGATTACTGCTTCTGGAGACAAAAATCTAAGATCCGCTAGAAAACATGGGATATCTTTTCCTGTAACATGGTCGTAGATAATAGTTCACTTTCTGTTACCGATTAAGTTCATCATCAATAACAACATAGGACCAGGGATTACTGCGTAACGGTCCGAGTTCTCACAGCTCATATCAGCACACCAAGCAAAAAGGCAGTGAAGTGGAAAATGAAATGAAAAAATTCAGTCAGAAACAATATAAAGCACTAAAGGAGAGAAAGGAAGAATGAGAAAATGTTGAGATTCGATAAAGCGTTAAGATGAGGATAATGTGTGTATACATCTACGTCACTGACATCGGTCATGAGCCATATCGCCTAGAGTCTCCAACCACTGGTTCATCTTGTCCGTGGACCTCAACCGGCTAGTCTGCATCGCCCCACATGGCTCAAACCAACAGTCAGAGACTTTATACATTGATGCCATATTTCAGTCTGGCCGTCTTGGACGTTTTTCCAGCCTGAGCCTACTTCAGCGAACATTGTGTGACGAGGCAGACGGCGACTAGGCATACGTAACACATATCCCAATCATCTCAGTCAATGAAGGTTCACAACCTTGTCAACCGACTTATTACCTCTTCTCCCTAAAACTCTACACCTGACTTCTGCGTTACTCACTTGGTGACACCACGGAATATGTACGGCCTATCCTACTAGGGTAACGGTGATCAAACACCTGAAGCCTTCTCATGTCTTGTACCTTGAATGGTCGTGTTGTACAGCTGTGTAGTAGAACAGACCAGACTGTTGTGCAGTACATGACCCTTAATAGACAAACGGATATCATGGTGGTGCCACAGGTGGCGTAAGCTGGCAAAAGCCGACTGAACCTTTTGTATTCGTGCATAGATTTCATCGGCCACTGAGCTACCAGGGTTGATCCTTCTTCCCACGTAAGTGAAGTGTTCAGTGCACTCAACCACTTCACTCTTTATTGTTAACCGGGCCTCGTTGAAGACCAATCCTGGAGCAACAATTTGCATTTGGGTGGTGAGAAGCGCATTCCAAACATTCTCAAATTGCCACTCGAGGTGTCCAGAAGACTCTTCATCTTAACAGTGTCTTCACCTAACACGACTTTGTCATCTGCGTATTCTAGGTCTATCAAAAGTACTCCTGTGATTAGGTCAATCGCTGTGTGGTCAGATGATGAGAGGGAGACCTCCATAAGGAAGTCTATGATAGAACTTAATAAGAATGGAGAGAGTGGGCAGTCTTGACAGACCCGACTGGATGAGCATAGCTCCCTGGACATTTCACCATAAGCTGTAACACACCCACAAGTGTTGGGGTAGAGAGCCTTCAATAAGTGATGTACTTACTCGGCACGCGTTTCAGTGAGAGACGTTGGCATAAGACTTCTCGATCAATGGAGTCGAATGCCACCTTCAGGTCGAGAAATTCAGCTATTGGTGGGCATTTGTAAGCGTGTCTGTGTTCCAGAGCCTGAGGCAGTGTGAATATGTGGTTGATGCATCCGTGACTGGGTCTAAATCCTGTCTGGTTTTCTCGGGTTTGCTGTTCTGGATCTCCACTTAGGCATTGAAGAATTATAGGACCTAGAATTTGAGATATGTTCGTCAGGCTGATTGCTGTTTAGTTATGACAAGAGGATTTGTTGCCTTTCTTGAAGACTGGGATGAGCATTGATTTAGACTAGTCATAGGGGAACGTATTTGATTCCCATATACTGGTTGACACTTCCGTTAACCTGACTAAAAGCACTCTACCACCATCCTTGTATACCTCAGGAGATAGTCCGTCTGGTCCTGTTGTCCTTCCTGGTTTGAGGTTATCTACCGCTTTCTCGAGTTATGCTAGTGTTGGGGGGCCTATCTCAATGTTCCATTCCGGATCCGACTGGATAGCGGGCAACGCAGTGGTTGCTGGACGCCAGTTAAACTGTTCCTCGAAGTGTCCTCCTCATCGTTCCAGTCGTCTCCCCGGTGAGTGAATCGCAGATCCGTCCTTCTCCGCTATATCTTCACTAACTGTTGTTGATTTTTTCTCCCCAGTTTCCTTGAAACGTCTAAATAACTGTCTAATGTTACCATTCGCCACTGCGTTTTCCATTTCTTTAGCCTTTGCTACCCATCACTGTTCGCGATCTTCGCGTAGACTTTTTCTCAATCTACTTTTAAGTTGCGCTTACTCTTTTTTGTACTCAGAGCCTGCAGGAATGTGTTCACGTGCATTCGTTAGTTCGGAAGCTGCTGATATCCACTGACTCTTTTTAACCATTATTTCGGAGTCGGCTACGGTCTTCAACGCTGATTTTACAACAGACTGGAGATGGCACCAAGCTTCTTCTGGATGAATGATAGTCTTCTGTCCCGATAACTGCCTAGCCAACTTCTCACTGAACACGGCTTTGATGTTTTCGTTGTCCGCCAGCACTCGTAGTGGTTTTGTTGCCAAATTTTACTTATGTCCATTAAGACGCAGGCATATACGCGCTCGGACCAATGCATAGTCGCTATCCAAGCATGTATTCCAGAAGTGGCGACAGTCTTCCACCGATCCTCTCCAGCGGTGACTGATATCAATGTGGTCTATGTGTGTCCATCGCTGAGTTGAGCCCGGTGGACGTCATGTCAGACAGTGTCTTTCCTTATGTCTGAAATTTGTGCTAGCTAAAAATAGGCGATTATCTGAGCACAGTTGTAGTAGGCGACCACCGTTATCTGTTCGTTCAGCTGGGATTCCGAAAGTGCCACCTAAGTGCCTTTCTGCCTCACTCACTCTACCCACCTGTGCGTTGAAGCCACCTACAACAACTACCACGTCCAAACGTTTGGCTTTCGGGAGGAGGCTAGACAGTTTTCGATAGAAATCGTCCTTGACTTCATCCGAACTACAGTCAGTGCGTGCGTAAGCAGAGATTACAAAGGGACAACGGCGTGTCTCACTATTCTTTTTAATTCTCCTGTACCGTCCACTCGGATAGCGTACAGGCGACTATCAACTGGGATCCGGTTTAGTAATGAGTTTTCTGCCCTAGTGCTTAATGTTATGCCTACACCTGCAAGACCACGAGAGCTAGCTGTCGAATCTCCAGAAACTTGGGAGTGAATTTTGCGGATTCACCAGATTGGCCGGGAGAGGTCAGGTGAATAACTGCACTTGGGTTCTGTATGCGTGTCTCACAAACACAGCACACATCTATAGCCCGAGTTGCTAGAGTCTTTACCAACGAAGCCTGTTGACCAATTTGACGGAATGTGCGGACATTGAAGGCTCCAATATGTAATTTCGAGCGTAGTTTAAGGAGACCAGGGATGCTGTTCTGTGGATTCAGATCGTTGTCAAAGGCTGCAGAGCTAGGAGAAATTGAAGATGATGTAGTATCGTTAGTTGAGAGACGTGAAGGAAGATTAGAAGTTAATGATGGGGAGGTGTATGGCAGTCTGAAGAAACGAGTGCTGACGGAGTTGTGAGGGTGGTTAACACTTTTCGGCTGCCCACACCGTGGAAGGCTATTTCTTCTTAAGGTACCTGAAAGGGATTTGTGTGACCGCAGATCCCATCGGACATCTGCTTGAGGCCAGCCACACGCAGCCTTTTGTGTATGCTTGTTTTGATTTTTTGTTGTTTTGGGACCGGATGGTCGGCAAGAAACGACAAATAACGACCAACATGGTCGGCCCGGCAGACCGTGGGGTACGGTGGAATGTGCTGGTTTGGGGGCCGAGATTTTCTAACCCCCCTTACGCTGAGAAGACAGCATCAGCATAGCACTGCTGGTCATCCAAGGGGAATACCTTACTGCTATCACACCCCGTCCAGCTAGCAGCAGTACAACTTCGCCTTCTGACTCTCACTATAGTGTGGTAATTTACACCGCAACGGTAACTGTTTTTCGTCTAACTACTATCCAACAGACCTTTCTGGTATGGTAGGACCTCTAGGGAACATGTGTTCCACCAGCATAGCTCGTTGGGTCATTGTGATATTCAAGACCGACCACCACGTCTAGGTAGCAGCTATTGGTCGGGTACTGATTGGCAAGTATATGCGTATTCAAGGTTACAAACCGCTCAAGGACGGTAGGGTTCTATATTCCTCGTGAATTCTGTGTTGCTTAGCACTGATCTTTGTGGAGCTTTCTAAGAGGTACTACGTCCGTCGAGTAACACTGTTGAAGGTTTTTCCTCATAAAGTTATGAGTTATTTCTACTAAAGATTTGGTCGATAAGAACTGCTTACAGTTGTTGAACTCTTGCAGTCAAATTATGTTCTAAAATATCGGAAGCCTTATAAACCGAAGATGAATTTGGAAGTCTTAGTAAGGATCCATCTAATAAGTGAAACAGCTGTGAACTTTAGCGGAGCTCCGTGTACATTAAAGAGTAATGTACATCAAGATACAGTTTTGATTTTTATCTGTCTTATGTCTGTAAATTACCACGTTCATGCAGGTTATTTCCGACTGTTAGCTGCTACCTTGGCATGGTGGTCAGGGTTGTATATCGTAGTGACCTAACGAGCTATACTGATGGAACGCTTATTCGCTCAGGGTACTATATTGCCAGAAAGGTCTGTTGGATAGTGGTTAAACGAAAAGCGGTTACCTTTGCAATGTAAATTATCACACTATAATGGGGGTCTGAGGGTTTGCTGGATGGAGTGTGACAGCAGTAAGGTGTTTCCCTTGGATGACCAAAAGTGCCATCCTGATCCCACCTTCCCAACGGAAGTGGGGGGAGGGGGTTAGAAAAGGTCGGGCTCAAAAGTAAAACACTGCACTCTCTCGCGGCGTTCCGATGCTTTAAACAGGATTCAAAAGTAATACCCCGACATCTCAAAATTGCCAAAGGACCGTATGTGACCGTTCTAAAGCAGATGTCACATTGGCTCTGTGGTCACAAAAATCTTTTTCTATTTCAGATACTGTAATAAGAAATAGCCTTTCACGGTGTAGGCAGCCGGGAAATGTCAGCTGCCCATACACTTGCGGTAATGCAGAAGACCCAATCAAACATAACCTATCCCTATCAACTCTGTCCCCTCCTTCGCCTTCACCTTCTGATACTTATATTAAGCTTATTACGCCTTGTCCAACCTTTTATTCCGCAACCATTGCCAACGATCAAAGCCATAGAAACCTTATTCCTAGTCTCCTAAAACCCCTCAGTCGATTTCATATTGGAACTTCTAACGTCCGAACTCCATGTCGAATCAGACAGAAGGCACCGCTCGCCGAAACTGGAATCTATAGCCATGGATGTATGCTGTCTCTGAGAATCATATACAGAACCCGGGTGTGGTTAATAAATTGGCCTCACCTGGCCATAGTAGTTAATTTCCACCTTACGAGTATCTAGAGCTCTGGCGGACGTGCTGGTGTGGGCATAGCATTGAGCTGTAGGGCAGAAAGTGCACTTCTCGACTGGATACCAGTAAACAGCTATTTATCTAGTGTTTGACTGAATGGATCTGTTGGAAATATGATAGGTCACGAAACTAGACGATACCTATTGTCAATCTCTGCCTACGCACCCACCGACTGTAGTTCAGATGATGGAAAGGATGAATTCTATGAGGAGCTGTAAGCCTTACTACAGAAAGCAAAACGTTCAAAATATAGTCATAATGGTAGGTGACTTTAACGCTCAAGTGGGGAAGTTGAGCCAGTCGGAGAGGTATCTTGGATGTATCTACGGAACTCCACGCTAACGTACCGACAGCGGTAATCGTCTGTTATAATTTTGTTCCGACAATCACTTGTTTGTGGCCAGCACTCGTTTCAGGCATAAGTTAAGACAGTCTCACATGGTGTCTACTGACATCGAACCAATGATGAACACAGGTAGATCACATTGCTATAAGCCATAGCTGAAGAGGGTTGTTTGAAGATTGCCGCTCTTTCTGGAATAGTAGTTGGGACTCTAATCACACGCTAGTTCGAGTTTGTACATGTCTGCGCTTTAGTGATCTCAGGAAACGAGTGGTACTAGAGCCTGTCTATGGTCGATTGGTCGATGAGGACATGAAGTACGTATTTAGGGAGGAGTTAGATAAGCATTTATCTCAATTTGAGAGCAACGCTGGCCTGAAGAATCCTGGCGGCATTTTATGTCTTGTAGAGACTGATAAAACAAGGTGGTAACTTACACACGAAGTTAGGAGTCATCAGTGGATTTCCGAAATGTCATCCTAACTGTTTGATGCGAGAAAATTGATTCCAGCTGGCTCTGAACACAATGAAGAACGAAAGCGACTTAAACGTAAACTGATCAAAAATCCGCAATTTTCGTGAGCAGTAGTGGTTGGTGAAATCGAAAAAGATGGAGATGACATCAGAGGTGGGTAACACTCCGCAACTAATTAAGCTTATTAGGGATATCTCAAGAAAAAGACGGTGGTTGGTAAAGCCATCATCGAAGAGAATGAAAAGCTGATAACCTCCTAGGACAGGTGGCTAGAACTCTTTGAAACCCAGTTCAACTGACCCACCGCAACGCTCCAGTTACCCAACATCCGGTCTGAACCAGATTCAAAAGTAGATGTTGGTCTTCCAACTCTATGAAGTTGAGAAGGCTGTTTCGAACCTGAAACGATGCAAGGCCCCAGGACCTGAAAGTTTCGTGAGTTAGAATCAAGTTGAGATATATAGATATGCGGGATCGTAGAATGTAGAGAATTTATCCTACTTCGGAATTCGATTTCGGATTCTAACAGAATCAAACTAAACATAGTCTACAGATCGTCATTTATATTCGCTGGTTAAAGGAGAGTGTATCTCTATTATCTTCCTATCTCGCTTACTGCGTTAAGTATTATTCACTTACTATCATATAATGTATAGGCAGTATGTACTTTGTGATGATTATAAGTGAGGTGGCTTGAATGTATGCACGCTTTACTAAGTTTATAATTAGTTGGATTAAAAAAACAACCTCTACTCTGGATAGTGTAGATACTTGGTCTCTTTCTAGATCTTTAGAATTTCTATTTTGTCTCGTCATTTCTGCTGCGTACTCCTGGTTTCTTCTATGACCATCATTGTTATTTTCCCTTATTTGCACTTCCTCATTGTTTTTCTCTTGTGCTAGTATCAAGTGTGACGTTGACCGATGCAAAATTGTGACTGGCTTTACTTTGTTGGTATTTCTGTTAATTTCCTTTTCTTGGTAACTGAGACCTGTGACTACTGAGTGCAGGTGACATATTCTGTGTGACATCTGAAGAAGGGATTGCTATTCATCATGTTGCATAAGAGTCTAGTGTGTTCTTGGATGGCTTTCTTCTGTAGGTAAGGTTTGCGAACGTTTTGTGGGTTTGGATTGTCGCCAGAAACTACCACTCGGGAAACAGTTTTAGGAAATCGCAACTAGTAACATGGTATGGCTATGGTACACTAATACCAGAAAGCATGTACTAATGCAATGCTACCCTATGTTGGTTCAAGTAGCACAAATCATAAAGTGCTTTATAAAACCTTTTGTGGTCTGCATTGCTTTAGAATCCGTATCATGATTCATTTTGGTTGCTAGAAGATTATGTAAATGTTTTGAAATCTCCATTGTAAAATGCCTAATTCTTTGCATCGCAATGAAAATTGAGGTGAAGCGTTCTCAAGACGTACTCTTCTTTACAGTTATCGCATTGTGTGTTATTGCATATAATGCATATTTCTATTAATGATAATTTTATTTTTTAAGCTTCCTTATCATTAAGCGAAATTTACCTTAATGAAAGCAGTAAGATTACTTTTTGATTTTCCATTTTTTTCTTCGTCTACTCAAGTTGAATGTATTTTAAGGAACCATTTATTGTATTTCTCTTTACCGTTTTTCTAGCTGATCGATGACGAGGCTGATTCCGTTCCCGCTAAACCGGCATCACATACTGACATTAATTTAAAGGCCCGTACTGCTGCACTTTTAGCTGAAGAGGCTTCTGCAAACGAAGCCAGAAAACGTTCTGGAAGTCAAGACCCTGACCCAAATAAAGGCCTACGTTCCAAAGCTGGTTCAATAGGTGGTTTAGATTCGGGATCCGGTGGGGTTGAAGTACTAAGCAAGAAAAAACTAAAGCGTCTTAACCGTCCTAGTGTGGCTGCACTTAAACAGATGGTAGCGCGTCCTGATGTCATCGAAATGTGGGATGTCTGTGCAAAGATCCACTTTTGTTAGCCTATTTGAAGGCTTACCGTAACACTGTGCCAGTTCCTAAACATTGGTGTGCAAAAAGAAAGTATTTGCAGGGCAAACGTGGTTTTGAAAAACCTCCATTTCGCTTACCGGAGTTCATTGCTCGCACTGGAATAATGGAAATGCGGCAAACTGTACAAGATAAGGTAAGTTCATTAGGTTTTTGTTCTTTCTTATTTTGTATGCACTAGCTTTTTGTTATATATTCCGAACGAATAATATACGCGCGCCTAACTGACAGCTAACTTCGTACTCAAGAGCCACCGACTGCAACCCGGGGCGAATAGAGAAGAAGATCAAAGCTGGATGGGAGAGTTTATTCCTCTGGGAATAATAATCACCCAGTGAATTACATTGCAAATGGGGGCAGAAAATAAACTACTAACCATGTTGTAAAAATAATGCGAAAATGATAACTTAAAAATGTTCAGATCAATAACAATGTTTTAAGTAAGACTGGGGCCTTCCAACACTTTCTCAGCAAAACTTGTATAAACTGGTAAAAAATGGAATCAAATAGAAACCAAGTTTCGGTCCAGTTTTTGCTAATTGGATTGTACTAATCGCATGCTACATTCTTAGGCTAATCGAATTTTGTTTTTAAAATCGCTTTTAGGATTCTGATAAAACACTTAAAACGAAGATGCGTGAGAAAATTCGTCCAAAAGTTGGAAAGGTGGACATTGATTATCACAAACTGCATGACGCATTCTTTAAATACCAAACTAAACCCAAACTAACAATACATGGTGATCTTTACTACGAAGGCAAAGAATTTGAAGTAAAACTGAAAGAAAAGAAACCTGGCAATATGTCAGATGAACTTCGAAATGCTCTTGGTTTGCCTTCTGGTTCCGTAAGTTTTAGAGCTTTATCATATTTTGATGCGTGATTGTTAATGGATTTTGTGGCATCATCTATGAGCGGTATTTCGAAATTAGGCTTCGGAGGTTCAAACCGTCTTACTAGCTAGTTTTTCACCTAAGATTTGTTCGAGCAGACCCATCATAAGTATTGTCAGGTCACGTGTTCCTATCATAGTCTCATGAATTTTGTCTCATATATCTCCTCTGGCATTAGCAGTTATCTTTACAGTCTATCTGTATCGTAATGAGGGTCGAATGCTAGTTTGAGATAAAATTAGAGGCTAGAAGTCGATTAAGCTTCATCTCTCTGTAGTTCCACTGTCACGATTTATAATTCTGATAGATTAGATAACCATTATGCAATACGAATGGGGTATGAACTCCTTTGGTGCTTCAAGATAGGTTTTGGTGCTGGAGCAGATCAATCCCTTTGAAGTCAGATGTACCTAAGATTATGTCTATTAGTACATCTATGATGAAGTTAAGTAGGAACGGTGACAGTCGGCATCCCTGATGGACACCACTAGTTGTCGTCACTTCGTATGACAACTCTTTATAGTCTCTTACATGGCTTTGCGAGTTCTAGTAGAGAGCTGTGATTGGCGTTATATACTTGTTTGGTACTCCTTTTACAATCAGAGACTGCCACAACACCTGACAGTCGACAGAGTCAAATGCCACCTTCAGATCGAGAAATGTGGAAAATGTCGGCCTTCGGTAAGTATAACTGCTTAACTGACTACCTTCAGATGCCGCGTAAGCTTTTGGGTCACGTCGATAATATCGCCGTCATGAACCCACTTTCTTTTTTAGGTATTTCCATTGTAAGTAGCCGAAAAATGTCAACCACCCTCATACTTCTGTTGGCACTGAGGTCCTTTATAGACACTTTTGACCTTATCGTTCTCTACCCTCTATTTTTTTTGAACATTTCTCTGTTTTTAATTTTACATTAAAGTTATACCTTTGGAGCTCATAATAATGATTCAAGTACATGGAATAGCATCTTCGCTCTCCTAAAACCATGGTCCAAACTACCTGGAGGAGCTTTTAACGTCCACACTGCTCATCAAATCGGGCAACAAGCTCCGTTAGTTGAAGATCTGGTCATGGACATGCATACGAGATTCAAGTGTGATTATTCATTTAACCGGATTCGGCCAATGTAGACGATCTGCAAAGTTCACTCTTCGAGTATTTTGAAATTATTTCAATAGTTTTCATTGTATTGTGAGTGCAGGTATGACGTTACATTCTAAGGCAGGAAACGGCTACTTGGTAGGATTCCATTTGACGGTCGCCCGTACCCTGTTCAACTGAATGGTACAGTGATGACCAAGAAAGATTACATCATATATCTCTTACTTTTTGTAATCTCTGACTACATTTCCGACAACGTAAAAGATAGGCTTAGCTCAAAAATTTCTAGCCTCCTAATAATAGTCAAGTGTTCTGATTTAGTCATTGTAACGGGTGACTTCAAAGCATACGTGGGGCGTCTAGGTCAGGGGCAGAAAGGTCAAGGGTTAGTGAGACTATAGCTAAGAAGGATGGGTCAGGTATTCGGTCTCAGGAGGGACGACTGTACCGATGGACAGAACACTATTGCTTTCCCCGCTATCCACTCGGATCTTGAACGAAACATTGAGGTAGGCCAGCACTTGCAGAAGTCCATAAAGCGATAGGTAACTTGAAATAACGAAGGGCAGGGGGACCTAACCGACCAGTTCCTGAGGTATATAAGGACGGTGATGGAGTGTTTTTAGTCAAGTTAACTGAAATGTTAACTAGTGTATTTGAGTCAAACATGATTCCCTCTGACTAGTCTAAATCACTGATTATCCCGGTCTTCACGAATGCCGAGAAGTCCTATCATGATAACCACAGAGGAATCAACCTGACGAACATAGTGTCCGAGATTTTAGGTCCTATAATCATTAGACACCTGAGTGAAGCTCGGGAACAACAAGCCTGAGGAAACTAAACAATCTTCGGACCAAGCCGTGGGTCTGTCGATCAAATATTCACACTCCTCCAGGTTTTGGAACACACGCTTACGGATACCCTCCAATAGCCGTATTTCTCGACATGAAGGTGGCATTCGACTCTGTCGATCGAGAAGTCTTGTTGCAATGTCTCACCGAAGGGGGGCGTGTTAGAGCCTAAAGTGAGATGTCGGGTGAGTAGTGTACGTCAAGTGGTGTCCGTCAAGACTGCCCACTCTCTCCATTCTTATTAAGTTCTATCATAGACTTCCTTATGGAGGTCTCCCTCTCATCATCTGACCACACAGCGATTGACCTAATCACAGGAGTACTTTTGATAGACATAGAATACGCAGATGACAAAGTCGTGTTAGGTGAAGACACTGTTAAGATGAAGAGTCTTCTGGACACCTCGAGTGGCAATTTGAGAATGTTTGGAATGCGTTTCTCACCACCCAAATGCAAATTGTTGCTCCAGGACTGGTCTTCAACGAGGCCCCGGTTAACAATAAAGAGTGAAGTGGTTGAGTGTGTTGAACACTTCACTTACGTGGGAAGAAGGATCAACCCTGGTAGCTCAGTGGCCGATGAAATCTCTGCACGAATACAAAAGGTTCAGTCGGCTTTTGCCAACTTACGCAATTTGCGCTGTCGTCGCAAAATCCGATTGTCTATTAAGGGTCGATTGTACTGTTTTTAGTCCACTCTGTTTTACTATATGGTTGTGAAACATAGCTATCATAGATAGAAGACGTAACGAGGCTTCAGGTGTTTGATCACCGTTACCCTAGTAGGATAGGTCGTGTTTCGTGGTGTCACCAAGTGAGTAACGCAGAAGTCAGATGTAGAGTTTTAGGGAGAAGAGGTAAGCCAGTTGACGAAGGTGTGAACCTTCATCGATTGAGATGGTTGGGACATGTGTTACGTATACCTAGCCACCATCTCTCTTGTCACACAATATGGGCAAAGTAGGCGCAGGCTGGATAAAGACTCGGGGCGACCTGACTAATACATAGCATCGATGCACGAAGTCCTTGACTTTTCGCCTTAGCCATGTAGGGCGATTTAGACTAGCTGGTTGGGGTCTGCGGGACACGAAAAGTCAGTGGTTGGAGACTCAATGTGATATGGCTCATGACCGATGTCACTGGCGCACATATATTTATAGATTATCCTCATCTTAACTGCCATACCTAATCTCATCATTTTCTCCTTCCTCCTTCCTCTCTTTTACTACTCGCTAGTTCTTCTGACCTATTTTTCTTCCTTCATCTTCTATTTTATTGCCTTGTTACTTCATGTGATGATATGAGGTGTGGCAACTAGGACCGTTACGCAGTAAAGCTTGGTCCTGTGTTGATGCTGATGATGAGGTCAGGCAGGAAAAGCACTTATATTTTGTTCTGTTGTTGGGATAGGTCGGCAGAAAGATTCATTTCCTCCTCGAACATTTGATTGGATAGTGACTATCCGTTAGTTTGAGTGCTCGTTTGGGTGAGTTCTCATTGAGGCGAAACAGTGTACATCCTAATGCTAACCAACAACAAAATATGTTCATTATAAAACTACACATGGAAGACCGTAGCTCAGCTAGATGATAGGGATGCTAAAGCTTCCATCAAAGAGAAACTAGCTAGACAGTTATCGAAATGTGACAGTGTTGCTCACCTGAAGAAGTCTGAGACTATGTTCAGAAGAAAGATGGTAATTAGTTGTCAGAAGTGTTGTAAATTGTCTGTGGATCCCTTCAGGCTAATCCGAATTCAAAAGAAGACACATATTTTTACAAACTTCTGAGACAATGAGGAGTGTGCTCAGGTGTGATGAGAACTTGTGGGGAGTGTGAGTGGTGATCAGGAACAGTGATGGTCAGTGAGTACTCAGGAGATAGGGAAGGGAGTTGTGATAGACAGAAAGCCTGATAGACTAGATCAACATGGGACATTTCTTCGTATCGGTCGAAGTTGTCACACACCATATCAGCACATGAAGTGAGGAGGCACTAAGATGAATGATGAAGAAGAAGGGGGTCAAAAATGGCGGTTGTGATAGACGGTGTTAGACAGCTGTTTAGATTGATTAAGGAAATTGGAGCAAGAGAGCCAACAGTTAGTGAGAATATAGTGGAGAGCGATGGATCTTCAACTTGCTCATGTGGGAGAGGGCTGGGATGATGGAGGAACGGTTCAATTGTCTGGTAACCATGTGTATTTTGGTTTTGTGTTGTCGAGCTGCATACTGATTGGGAAGTCAAGATATCTCTTGGAACTGTTGTAGGAACTGAGAAGGCTGTAAGTTTCCCGAGAAGCAGAAAGGTAACAGGTTCCAAGTACTTACACAAGAAATCTGTTGGTGGGGTGGTCAACGTTTGTTGGTTAGACTGATGGAAGTGTTGGCTGATGTATAAAAGCTAGATACTTTCCGCATGCGAAAAGAGTAGATCTAAGTCATCTGGGCGTAGCTGAAACAATTTCACAAAACTACAACCCGTTATTTGTTCAAAAGTAGTATGTATAGCTCATTTCTTTGCCATAGCCATCGTCATGAATCGGTCACTATAGATAACTCGCTGTTATTTCTTTTTCTAACGATTCGTTTGTTTCCCTACTCTAGAACTGCATATATATATATATATATATATATATATATATATATATATATATAGCATGACTCCCGTCTCTGCTATGTATTTTGACCTTTGTTCGGAAATTATTTTATCCTGTCTAACACATGTTCTCCATTGTAAAGCTAGCAGAATGAGTTTGTCGCGATAAGCTATCCAGCGACCTTTTCTGGATTTCTAATGGTTGTAAAATCATAGATATAATCTACCTTATGTGCTTATACTGGGTGATGATTGAAGGTGGAATGAAAATTTGAACCGCGACTGTATTCAGACCAGCGACCACCGGGTTTCTGGTCCGATACTCTGCCAACTGAGCTACGAGGTCCGACTGCTGAACCAATTTTCATTTCACTTTAATCACCACGGGTTTCCCCCGACTGCCATGTAAACTCGTGACGAGTTACTACCGCTTGATCTTATTCACACTGACTGCCTAGTCAGGACTTCTCATCCCAATCCAAATCTAAGTCAATCAGAGAGAGGGGAGCATCATATTGATTATAATGTACTTTATGTACATCAATCTTTCCTCTTGAGTACAGCAGAAGTCATAGATTTTGATGATTTCTGAAATGTACTGGAGGAGTTTTATTTTTTATTACCTTCATACTGCCAAAGCTAAATTGAACTCTGTTTATTTTATCTAAGGGTGCCGAGCGATATCCTCCGCCATGGTTGATTGCTATGCAGCGCTATGGTCCACCACCTTCTTACCCAAATTTAAAAATCCCTGGGCTGAATGCTCCCATTCCAGATGGTTGTGCATTTGGTTATCATCCTGGCGGATGGGGTAAACCTCCTGTAGATGAGCTTGGACGTCCTGTTTATGGAGATGTGTTTGGAAATGGAGGTAATATAGCTGGTGTGCCACCACCTCCACCTCCGCCAACTACTTTTGAGGATGCTGATGAACAAATCGGTAAGTGTATGACGTCAACAGTTTTCAGTAGTTGTTTTGTTTCTTCAGTGGGATTCGGAAAGAAAGTGCCACTTAGTATTCTCTGAATCTTGCAAATGTCAGGGTGTCTGGTTTTGTGTTATTTGCTTTCAGCCATTTGTCTTATGCGCTTACATTTTCTTTCGAATGTAAATAAAACAGTTTGAACTTGTGACTCTGGTTCAGAATCGAACATCTGAGCCGTAGAGTCATAATCTAAATGAAATAATAATTATTCTACTTAGGATTTTATTTTTAGGGGATAAGTGGACACCACTGACACTAATTCTCATCCGAGGTAGTAACTACCCAACATGTCATGACAAAATTCTACTGAGTGTTTCGATTATTATTGCACGTGATGTACGTGTGTATACACATGTACACATGTATTTGGAGGTAATATGACTGCGTCATCGTCGTTTCTTCGAGGTGTCGCTCACATTTCTTGGGTATCTTCGCTGTTGAGATCATTTTGGAAGTATCGATGAGCATATTATGCTGAAGCATATTCAGATCTCACTAGTATCCAACCATTTAAAGGTTATCATCTGTATTTTTACCCATATGTAAACGGTTAGTTTCTTTTGTAATCTCACGGCATTTAATTTAGTTAAGGCATTTTTATGCTTAGTCCATGTCTACCAGATAACCTGAGCGGGCGATAAGCTCCAAAGATAAGCAGAGCCATTTGTATCACTGTATTTAAAATAGGTTGAATAAGAGTGGTCATAGTCGATATCACTAGTGGACGCTACCGGTTGACGTTACCTCAGTTAACAATTCACCGTAAACTCCCTTGCACAAGTGTCATTTTGCATGAACTAACATTAAATTTGGTCTTGGAATAAGTTTATGGCAAAAGTTATTACTTTTCGTATGGTCTCCTAAATAGTATGTTGAATGGAATCAAATCCATATCATACCGATAATTAAAAGTTGATATAGTTGCTAATTAAATCTATTCTCAAGCGTTAACCACTTATCGACCCACATATCAAGTTTTGGGTAGTATCATTTACGCTCATATTAGAAGTGTGGCTTATTGCCTAGTGCAAAAATATGTGCAAGGTAGCTGAATACGTTTAATTTAAATGTGTATAAACAGTGATAACAAAGCAATTCAAAAACGACTTAGGTGTCTGTTTACAAGACAATGAACTGTGATATCAACTAGTTTTCGAGACCTTGGTAAGTTTAATAGTTTGAAGCTGCAGCCGAGTTGAATGTCTAGTCCAATAAGCAACAGCTTCACTTGTGAATGAGACAATGATTTCAGCACTTCTTAGTATGCAATAATAAACACCTATAGTGTACCTTTTATTGTGCTTTTGGCCCGGTGTTAAACGTAGGTGAATGGTAATGATAAATGGTAATCTTTAAGTATGTTAGGGCGTTGTTGTTGTTCATGGCCGAACTGCTCAGTATTTATTTCTTTTGTATATTCTATAAGATCCATGCAACTCAATAAACTTGATGTATGGAAGTTAGTTCACTTCCGTAGGTAAGGTACTCCTTTGTGATATTATGCTAGGGTTCATTCTGTTGATTTAGAGGCATTGTAAGTAGGTAAAGTTATTGTAATGATGCTTGCACAAGAGGTGGCTATCGTACCGCAGTGGCTTAGTGGATAACGCTTTGGTGTTTGAAGTGAAGAGTACTGGGTTCAAGCCTCAGGCGAAACAACATCACTGGCTGGGGTGCAGGTACATCTGGCTGACGAGTCCCAAGTAGGACGGAACGCGCGTCCTGGGTTCCTCTACTAGTCACCAAAATCAATATAACATATCATAAGTAGGTATAGGTCGTTGAAGTTTCCTGCATTAGAACAGCACAGCATGGCAGCAAACGGTACAGGTTTAAGTTTCTGACAGTAGCAGTTTCCTTCAGATTGCCCAGGAGTGCGGAAAATCATGAAACCTAGTTCTGAGATTCCTGTCAATTGCTTCCGGAAATATTTACCATTCCTCACTTTTCCCATTGAATATAAGTTAAACTTGTTCATCGTTTTGTTTATTTCATCTTACTTGTAAGAAAGATTTCCTGATTGTTTCCTTGTTTCTCATTGAATATCATAAAAATCAGCTCATGGTAATATCACCTATTGGGGTGAATTGGAATCTGACGAAGAATCTGAAGGTGAAGATGATGATCAGGATATGGACACGGATGGAGAAAGTGAAGATGAACAGGCAGCAGCAGCTGCAATGGATGAAAATGAAGCACAAAAGATACTTGCCACACTACCAGGAGCAGGAGCTATTCCACGACCGGTGGATGTGGGTGGTTTGGTCACACCTGCTGGAGGGTAAGTTCATATTTCATTGGGTGTTTCCTTTGTTTCTATTACTCTTACTTCTTTACAAGTGTGAATAGTATAAAGTCATTTAGTACTTAATCTTAGGCTGACTCATCACTACTGATGTTTCAATTCATCAGGGTTTTTGTTAGTAGCTCGGTATACATTATTAGAAAAATAAACACAAGATGAAAATGATTTTCCGTTTCGACAATATACTCAAAGGATAGCAGTCTGGTTACTGAAGTTATGACTGATCGGCATAAACGCTTAACTTTCACAGGTGAAATCTTACCATCCAAGGAATTATATGGTTCATTTCAGCATTCCTTAGATGAGCCAATTCAGGGTTTCCAATGTAAGTATTTCGCCATTGACCGAGTTTTTCCACCAACAGAAATACAGTGAATCACATAGAAATTTGGGCTTCAGGGTGCTTTCTCTTTCTTCATTCTTTAAACCTCATCTCTAATTATCCCATTGCCTAGCCTTTTAGTTTAGCTTATTATATTTGCCTACATATTCAGTACTTGTGCTTGATGGTTGTCACATACTATAATAATATACAACAGCAAAGATAAAGTGTTTGTACTAATAATAAGCTACGTTTATTTATGGATCTGACAGCATAAAATTAAATTTCACAAACGATCCATGGAGTGTCTAAATTTATAAGTTTACTTACTTTACCTGACATTATGTATGCGTAAGACGGTAATATTCAACTAAAATTAGTTCTGCTCTCTACACTGAATATCCTTTAAAGCAATTGATGGTATGAACACGAAGTATCCGACCCACCTTGCTGGTAAGTATAGACATAAATGTATTGAAACATGTAAAAGCTGCTTCTTTTACAATGGATAAGGTTCGGTAAATCCGATATATATATATATATATATATATATATATATATATATATATATATATATATATATATATATATATATATATATATGGTATCAAGCAGTGAATATATCTGTGCTCTTGTGACCCATTTCCAACCATGTTACTAAGTGTCTTCAACCACAGATTTCTTTCATCTTGGGGACCCTGGCCAGGCAGTCTACATCTCCCCACATGGCTCAGGCCAATAGTCAGGGACTTCGTCCGGTGTTTATAGTTGTTTAGTACAGTTTGTTTACAGCCTATTGGTTGGTTATGGCTAATTGGTCTGTAATTCAAAGTGCCCACTATTGTGCCATTGGTTTGAAATTTGTTCCACTTTCCTCAACCCAGACAGCTATGTATATATGATGAGCTCTCGCACATCAAGTGTAACTTATAGGCCAGTGTATAGACCTGTCACAGGTTACTGAATTGCATTACATTAAAGTGTTTTGCAATTTTTTCTTCCATATTTTCATTACAAACAATTTAGTGTTTTATCCAATTCAATCTTTGTTACAGACTGATAACACCTAGTGGTGTATCCAGTGTCGGTGCTGGTTTAGAAACTCCACAGAGTATGATTGAACTACGTAAGAAGACTATCGAGGAAGCAATGGAGGATAGTACTGGCTTAGTCACGCCATCTACTCAACTTTATCGTGTACTCCCAGAAACTGAGACTAATTTACAACCGAATGCACTTATGGGTAGTACTAAGTTGTATGATGTGGCGGGTGTAACAGGCGCACAACGTGGAATCGAAGTAAGTGTATTGAGTCAATTTATAATTACTTCTTTATTGAATAGTTTTTCCTATAAACCATACTTTTTATAAATGTTCACTTAAAAGTAGCCTGAAACTCGCTACCCAATAATATGCTTGACTTTTTCAGTGTTGAGAACTATTCTAAAGCCTAAAAACCTGGGAATGTTAGGGTTGTTCTGCAGTCTTTTTCATTAAGAAAATGTGGGAATGTTGGTTTTTAAGTTTAACGTTTATTAGCTGAATTTAGTCATTGACTTTGACGGCATGTCTTAATACATAGATTGTTAGGTTGAAGAATGATTTCAAGTGAACCATAGATTGGTAACCGTTTACTATTGTTGATCTTCATAAAATGTATGTAATCCCTGTTCGTCTTCGCAGGGATGTAGATCACGTCTAGGTTTCATTTCTGTCACTTTATTCACTGGCTTTCGAACATTGAATGTTTAAATTTATAATTCCAGGAGTCGAGTAGAAGATATGAAAACGTTATAGATTTTTGACCGTAGTTGTCTCCGTAGCGTTGCTTGTTTGTGGTGGAACCACTTTCTGAATACTGTTAAGGTCAAACAGGGTACTAGATAAGGAAGGTTAGTCAACCAGTCGATTAAGTTGTTGACTTGCTGCTATTGAGGGACCTTGGGCATACTGAGCTTTTCCCTACTTCTACGTGCAATGTTAACCGTAGTAGGATTAAGTTAGAAGAAAGCTAAAGGCGACCAGGTCAGACTATGACTTTTCTGAATGTTATAGGAAAATATCGGCTAGGTGGTTGGGGACCTTGAGATATTATGAATCAATGATCAGCGATTGTTGCTAATATGGTTCAAAGTTAGTCACATTGGCACAAATTTACCCACGCTTTGTTATGGTAGGAATTTCGAGCACTCTATCTTACCTTTATATATTTCTCCCCTCAGCTCTCCTGACACTTTTATCTGACTTGATATCATTCTCTTTGAACGCACCTCTTCTTTGCATAATGTTGAAAATTCTAGCAACCTGGATAGATCGACATGATTCTAATTTAAACCTGTCGGTCTCGAAAATTCTGCTTTCGGTTGCAGGCTAGATAAGCTTAATGTAGCAAGTGTTGCTCATCAGTAGGAAATAATGTTTAACTACTCATCATCATGCGATATTATCAGATTATAGGATATTTCTAGACTGATAATACCGTTTAGGCACTGATTTAGTGAAAACTAAAAAGCAGCAGCTCAATTTGTGTCGAAGTCAGATGAATCATGGGCTTATGTATCTGAACTCAAGAACACATCACATGAGTCATCAGACTTCATTTTTACCGCTGTCTAATGTGAAACAGGTCAGCATAATCATACATTCACACTTGTAAGCAGACCCAGTTGAAGAACTGCAGGTCTAATTGTAAATAACTATTCTTTATTCTAAGCGTTTCAGTAATTCTTCAGCTGGTATCAGTTCTCTATGAAAACAACTTCGATAGTAATCGATTTTTCGGGAAATACTGATGACTTATGATAGCAGACATGCTTTTTAGATTTGTTATTTGTACTAGCCACTCTCTTATTAAACTGCACTTTTTTTTCTTAAAAAATAATTTTTTTTAGGCTGAAGATCCTCGTGAACGTATGCTACGTAAGCGTGCTACGGGTACTGAGTCTCAACAAAGTCAGATTAGTGGAGTCAAGTCTGGAGGTGGTAGTGTTGCTGGAAGTAATATACCAGAGCCAGTTGTTCCATCAGCGTCTAAGAAGTATAAAGAATTCAAGTTTTAGTCAGTATACATTTCTGTTTATACTGATTTCTTTGTTCACTTTACGTTCAGAAGAACAGTTGCTTACCACTTCTTTTGTGTTTTTGAATGTGCAACACAAGTTTAGCAAATAATCATATCGTTCATTTACCACTTATTTGTAAATACAAGAAATATTTTAAAATTCCTAACGATTCACACCCATAAGTGTGTTTTTAAAATATAACACATAGATGGTAGTAGCGTTTCCAACCAATATCTTTTTATTATCTTAATTTAGTAGTGGGTTTCTCCTATGTTGGGGATCCATTTTAAGTGTAGTATCTTAGATGCTTATTCATTGAGATTCTGCCATGTCAGGAAGCTCTGTTGGATAGTTATAAGACTAAAGGCGACCAAATTAGGTAGTTTACATTCCCGAGATGGGTTCAATGCTAAAGTCAAACTGCCAACTGGCGTTTCTTTTAGACAACCACAATTTCAGTTATGCCACCGTTGAATTCTGCTTTAGAGCAATTATAAAAGCTCGATTGTTAAGGTTTCATACTTACAATTTTCGATCGCCTCTTGAGAGATACACTCAAATGTTCAAGCGAAAAATGCATTCAAAAAAGCCACTTGGAATAGACTCTTAGCAGATGTTATTTTGATCATTTCAGATTAGTCATCTTTTTAATTCAGTTGCTTCAGAGGGATTTCAACTTCTTTATTGCGAATGTCAACTACCAGTCTGCTTTCAACAGTACGCAAATCCTCCTTATCAGTAAAGTTTATCGACTGTGTCATGTTTCATTATCAATGCCTTGTTGTTTAAAGTTTTCTCACCTTAGGTTGCAACTGTTGCTAAAGATTGAACAAGTAGAACACCAATTTTGATCTCCAGGAACTGTGCTGACCAACAGCACAGCACGGTTATGACACGTCTATTATCAACCACATTCAGCAACTATATGACGACGCTACCTGCGAAGTGGTTCACAATGGAAAGTTCAGTGACGCCTTTGAAGTGAACACAGGAGTAAGACAAGGCTGTCTACTATCACTCGTGATCTTCTTGATTGTGGTCTACTGGACCGGATCATGCAACTAACTGTGAGGAGCGAGCAGATGCGCATAAGCTGTTTGACTGATGAAATAACTCCAGAAGATTTGGATTTTGCCTATGATGATTTATGTCTAATATCTTGGCGCACAAACTCGAAGATCTACAGGCAAAAACCAACAAGTTGACAAGAGGCGGCGAAGACGAGACTTCGGGTGAACGTAGAAAAGATGGAGGTAATGAGGATACCCAACCACCACCACCAACAACAAACAGCAATCATCATGAACGGGAGAAATCTAAAGGAAGCTGTCTCTTTCACCTACCTACCTAGTCAGCATCGTTTCAGCTACAGGCAGCACAGGCACAGATGAGGACATCAAAGCCAGGATCGAAAAGACAACAAGACAGACCTTCATTAACCTGAAATCAGTATGGAGATCTACTGCACTCAGCACTAACGGTGAACAAGATCCGGATTTTCAACATTAATGTGAGTCAAGTAAGTCAGTGCTCCTATGTGATGGTTGAGAGACTTGGTGCGTTACGAAAAGCATTTCCAACAAACGACTGCAGACATACATCAACAGCTGCCACCTACGCCCCTTCGATACTGAAGATGGAGATCAGATGACCAGAATAATAAGAATGAGCGACAAGGAACTCTGGTCTGGCAAAGAACCAACTAACCGAGAATCTATCGCCCAAAAAACATACAGAAGAAAGTGGAGATAGATTGAGGATACACTGAGAAGACCATTCGGGGACACCACGCGTCAGGCCTTTGAGTGGGAACTCAAACAGAAAACGACGAGTTGGGCGTTTGAGGAGAGAGTGATATGGAGGAGATGGTGTGAGGAAGAAATGAAAGCTTGTTGGCAGTCGTGGAGCAAGGTTGAAAAGACTGCCGAGAAGAGAGTGAAATAGAGACGTGCTACTGAAGCCCTATGTTCCACTAGGAACCCATGGGACAAATAATAATAGTTTTTTGGCAACAAGTGTAAACCATAGGTGACTCGAATACGCAAACAAGTAGGTTGGGGAAAACGTGGGGGTACCTGTGTAATCATATTCTGATATCACCTGTTATCTGCAGTTTTGTTGTGGCAACCACTGACTAGAGGTCTTCGTAATAACAACGGGAAGCTAAAGAGGTAGGAAAGATAGCATTGGAAAGTATTTATTGGTTATTTAGGTTTATCAGGGAAACATTCGAAATAGGTACTGGTTAGTGAGGTTTATGATAAACTGGAATTTTCGGCCTAACACAGAATTAAAATAGGTGATCTAGAGTCAGGCTCCGCTTGCTTGCCACTCAGTTTCAGTACCAATTGAATATGGGAATGGACACTGTTACTCTTGTCCAAGTTTGTAAGGTCCTTTGAAGTTCTGAGTAGTGCAAAACGGTGGGACTTCTGGGCTCCAGAATTTTGAAAAAAGATGTGATGAGGAATCACCATTGGGCTTAAGGGTCAACGTGAGTTCTTTAAGAATAGTTTCGATTGGTGATGCTATCACTTCACAGGAAAGTAGACAAAACTGCCTACGATAGTCATAGGAGAATCAGAACAACCGATGTAAGATTTATGTTAATAGCCTTTCGATACCAAAATGAACCTTTGAATAATCATAAGTGTTCATTGGTCAGATTTTCACTGCGTTAAGTTTTAGGGCACAACTATCACCATCCGATACAGTTTCATATGTCTGATAAGTGGATGGTATTATTTGGATTCCATTTAAGCTTACTTCTAATCACTATATTTGTTTCCAACCATTGTATATAGATTTTTGCTCACTATATAGTAAGTCATACCAGAACGTATTCAAATTTGGAGTATATTATAAATAAACAGTTAAATACTACTGAAACTTTGGGATTCGATGGGGGGACAGGGTAGTAAATCATTAATTATTAGCCTGTAGCCTTCATTGTATATCATATCAGAAGCAGTTTGTCTTGAATCACTATGCTATCTAAACGTAGTATTTCTCGTCACACAATGTTCGCTGAAGTAGGTTCAGGCTGGAAAAAGGCCCGAGGTGGCCAGACAAAAACATGGCACCAATGTATGAAGTCTCCGACCTTTGGTTTGAGCCGTGTGGGGCGATGCAGACTAGGTGATCACATGGGTCAGAACCGATGTCAGTGGCGCAGATGTATACATACATTATCCTCATCTTAACGACGCTATACCGAATCTCACCACTCTCTCATTCTTCGTTTCTCTCTTTTAGTACTTTTTATTTCTTTCGAGTGAATCTTCTTATCTTCATCTTTCACCTCACTTCCTTTTTACTTGATGCACTGATATGAGTTGTGGCAACTCGGACCGTTACGCAGTAATGCCTGGTCCTAGGTTGATCTGGATGGATGGGTGGATTTCTCGTATTTTGTAAGGATTGTACAAGCAAGTCTCCAAGACATAGGCTATTTTTGTTATTACATATTGAGAAATATCAATATATAATCAATCTATTAACTTCAGTACGTACAACTCATTGAAGAAAGTTTTGTGGGTTAATTAAATAATATTTCAGAAAAAAATATTATTCCATAATATATCAGATTAAGGTGAAGGATTATCAAAAATGAAATTGACTTCTTTGACATTAGGCCATTTAAAATTCAGTAAATATCCTTCGCCAATATTGTGAATGTTTCGTTGATTGATGATGGATGTCTTTTTGGGTAAACTGTACTAATCTAACTATCAAAAAATCTCATTTATGATATTCTTGTTATAATATGATTGGCAAAGTGTATATCATCTGATCAACCTATAACAAAAAAGTGACTATTTACTTGGTTGACGTTACTGACCATTAGTTGGATATTCTCGTGGAGCTGTGGTTTATGTGTCTAGGTACCTGAATTCAAATTGATGGGCAAGGGTTCAAACAACATACCATCTAACGAGGATTGGCAACCAGGTAGTATCATTTATCCTCATCACCTACTGCAGGCATTCGCACGCATAGTTTTATTGAATACATTCCGAATCGGATATTCTTCAACTCATGGTATGGAATGAGTAAAATCTTTGGAATACGGATAGCTTGAAAACTGATACAACACTCCGATACATTTTATCTGACTTCAACAATTTTCTTATCATACATTTTATGGGATAACACAGTCACTTGAAGTCACTACACTTTCCTGTTTTCAGTATAGGCACCGATCGAAGAAGTTGATCGAAGACAGCAAATAAATAACTTAAAGCTTTTATGTTATTCAGGAAACGGCATTAGCATGGTTAACCAGGAAAAGGTGTAATTAGCTAATAACTTTAAACGATGGTCGCTGGTTCGAATCCGGCCGCGGTCCAGATTTTCATCTTACCTTCAATCATCACCCAGTAGAAATACATATAAGTCTTATTAGCAACTAATGATCCGAACAACTTATGACGTCACTGTTTTAGAGAAAACTCTGTGACCTAGGAGTTTGTTTATCAGTTATAACACTACCCTTTCGAATAATTCCCTTAATGTTGACTTTTAATGCAATGTGGCATATGAAATAGGCGGAGACCTTACGTGTTTAGCACTGTACTTACTTATGTTGTTTTGAGTAGTTTGGCGAGTGTAGTTTGTTTTCTCCGTTTGGCGTTTCGTAGTTCCTTATCTACCTCTGTCTCCTATTATTTTATTCGTTTATATGCTAATTAGCTAAATACCTCAAAATAATTGAACCTAGAAGGATTAAATTTTTGAATTAGTAAAAGATTTTTGATTATTGCTAGCATTCATCCTAATAATTACAGATATAGTGAATTATTTCTTATCTTTAAAGCAATAGTATTCACTACCATTACCTTATTTGTTATCAATCTTCAGTTACATTATAGTGGATTAGATGTTCTTAATTTTTCTTTCTCTCTCCGCATTTGCGTTTTTTTCGGTAATGAATAACGTTTTTATTTGTTCCGTTCTATGAAGTAGGATTTTCATATTATTTCCGTTTCATCTGCTCT